TAATGCCCAGGCGTTGTTACATATGTATACTTGTGCCATCGTTGGTGTGCTGCACCATACAAACGTCGTCATTTACTCAGGTTATTCGCAACTCCGAGTGCAATCTGCCCCCTCCCCAATCCCATGGACATCGGCCCCAGTGTGGTGATGTTCCCCCTTCACCCGAGTCCAATCTTTCTCTTTGAAATCTCATTGTTCAGTCTCCACCTGCGAGGTGACCGAACATCCGGCGGTGTTGTGGTTCTGTTCTGTGTGATACCGTTTGCTAGCGAAACTCCGATGGTTCTCCAGCTGCATCCATTCTAGCCACGGACCAAACTCATCCTTTTTTTACTGGCTGCATAAGTAAGACGTGCGCATCTGGTGGTACATGTCGCGCCACATTTTCCTAATCCCAGCTCTGTCACCTCGAAGGACACCTTGGGATGCCCGCATCCAAAGTTCTCTTCGCTAATTGTCAACTAGTGCCGCAATAAACACTACGTGCTGCATGCTGCGTCCTGTATACGCAGGCCATATGATTTATTCAAATGCTCTTGGTATCACCCACCCAGTAAATCCTGGGAATGGCGCTGTGTCATACTGGTGCTTCCCTACTTTCTTAGAACCTCACTTGGAGAATCGCCATCTCTCAACACTGTTTCCATAATCGGTTGCGAACTAGACTTTAAACAATCCACCAACCAGTGTAAAGTGTTCCTTTCTACACTTCTCTCCAGCATCCTTCTCCAGCACCTGTTGTTTCCTGACTTTTTAAATGATCGCCCATGCTCCTAACCTGGTGTGAGATGCGGTCATCTCATTGTGGTTTTTGACTTGCATCTTCTACGAGCGGCCCAGCTGATGATGACGTATCTTGTTCATCGTCCCCTGTGGCTGTCATCGAATGTCTTCTTCTTTGACGAAATGTCTGCGTTCATCCACTCCTTGCCCCACTCTTTTAATATGCGGTTGTTTGCGCTTTTTTCTCCTAAATTCTCTTTGCGAGCTCTTTCCCTGTAAGGTTCTGGTAATCTAGCCCTTTCCAAACCCCCACAACACACACACAGACTGAGTCGGAAAAAAATTGCAAACAATTTTCTCCCATTC